CCACCACTGGAGCTTGGACCAATCGAGCTTATTCACAATCCACCCCCATCTCCTTTATCCAACACAGATAACGGGCACACTAGTAGAAAAACTACTTTAGTGAGACACATTAGTCCCGGTTTGTAAATGAACCGGCACTAATGGTATGATTAGTCCCGGTTCGAACGGTTATGCATTAGTCCCGGTTTATTTGTGACCTTTAGTACTGGTTGGTTGCTCCAACCGGCACTAAAGGGGTCATGGCCTTTAGTAGGGTTGGTGGCTCCAACCGGTACTAAAGACCCCCCCCCCTTGACTACCGATTGGAGCCACCAACCCGTACTAAAGGTGGTGCGCTGCCACCTGCAGTGCACAATGTTTAGTCCCATCTCGCTAGTTGAGAGGAGCTCACACCGGTTTATAACCCCGCCGTAGCAACTGTGTCGAGCTCCTCTCTAAGCAGGCCTTTGTGGGCCTATTGCAAGTCTTCTGCCCTGTGGGGCCTACTGGGTCGTACGGGCCTGCATCCTGGCCCAACTAGAGGTTGGGTTTCTAGTCATAAGCAGGCCTTGCCGGCCCAGTAGGCGGGCTGTTTTTGCTTTATTTCATAGAAGAATTCAAAAAAAATCTTTTAGTCCACAGACCACGGCGCGTGTCGTGCCACGTGGTGGGCCTTTGGTCCCGGTTCGTGTTGAACCGGGACTAAAGGGGGGGGGCTTTAGTCCACATGGTTTTCATTTCATCCACATGCCCAATGAAGTAGCATTTTGATCAATATTCACCCCCTTCTTTGATTCAACTGTTCTTTCTCGAGTCACTATTGAGGGTAACGATGTGGAAGGGCGATTTGTGGTCGGAGGAGGCTTCTATACCGATGCGACCTCGCCAGATCCATGGCGTTGGGCAACTTCGGTGGCTGCGCCCCTTTCCCCAACCTCTTGTTTCTTTGTTGCAGGTTGAAAAGTATGCTTGAGAATGACGCCGATGGCTTGTCTCCGCCCTTATGCCACTTGTAGAAAAACGACCTTTAATACCGGTTCGTAAGGACCTTTAGTACCCGTGAGAGGCACCTCATCGGCTCGCTCTCAGCTTTGCTGATATAGTCAGCCAGGGACTGTGTGGGCCTGCTCTTGTGAGCCGCTAGGAGTGTCGCCGTTGTGCGGACGAGGGGAGAGGACACGGTGGTCGGTTCTAGGGCTTAGGGAGGCCGCCGCCGTCGCTTGTAGGAGGAGGTGATCAGATCAATGACCGCAGGCTCGCCTCTTTCGCTTCACTACCACGCGGATCGTAACATTAGGCTGCATCAGTAAAGGAGAGAGCTCCCAGATCGATCCTCGAAGCAGCAGCCCACTAACGCTTTTGGGCCGGCAGGGATGCTCGAGGTGGAAGCGGTAGAAAAGACCGTGGGGAAACGGAAGGACGACTGGAGGATCCAGATCGTTGGGTGAGCTAATCGGACAATGCAGAGTGTCAAGTCGCTGTGCAGGCTCCTAGGTAGCCCCGTTATACTGTTTCTCAATGCGCTGGTTGGACATAGAAAAATTGTTTTGTTTGGAAACTGTTTATCATACTCTCATAGACGGTTTGGAAGCCAAGATACCTATGATAATTCCTTTCAAAGAGGGGTTTTGGTGAGCCGTTAGCGATGGCTTTTTGGGACGAGGGTTTTCATTGTATTGATATGCACTCCCTATGTTCCTAAATATAAGTCTTTCTAGAGATTTCAATGCGGACTACATACGAAGCAAAATGAGTGAATCTACACTCTAATATTTCCTCCATTCCTAAATATAAGTCTTTTTTAGATATATTAATAAGAATTACATACGAATGTATATAGACATATTTTAAAGTACAGATTCAGTCATTTTACTTCGTATGTTGTCCGTGTTGAATTCACTAAAAAGACTTATATTTAGGAAGGGAAGGAATATATGTCTATATACATCCGTATGTAGTCTTTATTGAAATATCTAAAAAAGACTTATATTTAGGAACGGAGGGAGTAGATAAGAACAACTTCGGAGCTAACATTCCAAAATAGTGGTTAACATATTAATATGTATCGATTAAACATTCTACTCCCTCCGTTCCTAAATATTTGTCTTTCTAGAGGTTTTAATAAGTGACTACATACGGAGCAAAATGAGTGAATCTATACTCTAAAATATGTCTATATACATCCGTATGTAGTACCAATTGAAATCTCTAGAAAAACAAATATTTAGGAACGGAGGGAGTATGATGCATTATTTTTTTTCTAATGCATGGAAATTTTCCCTTCTTGGCATGCACAACTCTTTTTAACTCTAGAATACATATGATGAATCCAGGTACCTTATTGTGATCGATGATGTGTGGACCATAGCAGCTTGGGACGCAATCCTAGCCAACTTGCCAGAGAACAACTGTGGAAGTAGAATCATAGTGACCACTCGCATAGCAACAGTGGCTAAAGCATGCAGTAATAAAAATGAGTATATCTATACGGTCAAGCCGCTGGAACCAGAAGACTCCAAGAAGTTGTTCCTCAGTAGAGCATTTGGGTCCATGGATGCCACTTGCCCTGATAGCCTGAAAATGGCAATGATTGATATTTTGAAAAAATGTGGTGGGCTTCCACTGGCCATTATCAGCATGGCCAGCTTATTGAGAAACTATAATTCAGCAGATGGAAAAGATATGTGGGAAAGAGTTTCCAAGTCAATTGGATCTCACATGGAGAGCCAACCTAGCCTTGAGGGAATGAGGCAAATAGTCACATTCAACTACAACCATCTGCCTCATGACATAAGGTGCTGCATGATGTATTTTAGCATTTTCCCAGAGGATTATATGGTAAACAAGAATCGTCTGTTGCATAGATGGATTGCCGAAGGATTGGTTACTGAGGTGCGGGAGTTGACCCTGCTGGAGGTTGCCCAAGCCTACTATGAAGAACTTCTCAGTAGGAGTATGATTGTTCAGGCAAAAGAGGAAGTTAGAAACGAGGTTAACATGGAGACATGCCAAGTGCACGACATGGTACTTGAGGTCATGGTGTCCAAATCACTAGAGGCTAACTTTGTTAGCCTGATAGGTGGGCAGTACGAAGGGATGTCATATGATAAGATTCGTCGCCTCTCTATCCATGGTGAAGAGGAACCTGTGGACTTCACATCCAAAAAAAAGGGTGTGAGGAATGTGGAGATGAATGTAAAACATGTTCGATCACTGAGCATGTTCAATAATCAAGGGCACCACGTGCTTGACCGACTGGGTGAATTCACCCTACTAAGGGTACTTGACCTGGATCACTGCGAAGGACTACAAAACAAGCATATGAGAGATGTCTGCCGGTTGTACCTTCTTAAGTACTTGAGTATGAGGGAAACAAATGTCAGTGTGATGCCTCCGGAAGTTGGTAAGCTGGAGCAATTACTGACACTTGACGCGCGTGGCACGCTCCTTGAAGGCCTTCCAGAAACTGCGATCAAGTTGCTTAAACTTGAGCGCCTGTTTTTTGGCAGCAGCCGTCACTGGGACGTTCTGTGGATGCCGCCCAGGGGTGTCTCCAAAATGAAGGCGCTGCGCGAGGTGCTTAAAGTTGGTGTCACAGACGACATTGAGGTTGTTAAAGAGATTGGTAAAATGCAACAGCTGCAACTGATACACATCTTCGTGAAAAGGATCGTACCTAGTGAGGAGGTCCTTCGGGAGCTTGCCATCTCTCTGAGCAAGATATACTCTCTGCGGTCACTCAACATTGGGCAGATAGGTAACACGGCTAATACATTGGACTTTCTACATTACGTCTCGCCGCCACGGCTCATTCGTAAGATATGGATTTCTGGCAGCATGGGTGGGTTGCCCTCCTGGATCGGGTCACTCACATATCTTGAAGAGTTTGAGCTTTTGTGCGCATTCCTTGTTGATGACCAACTATTCGAAATTCTGTGCGAGTCCCCCAACCTGAAGAACATCATTTTGCACCGTAATTTCTGGACTCAAAGGGAGATGTTGCACGGACCTCACACAAGTTTAAGGCGCTCACAAGTCTGTGTGTGTCCCTTGCTGGTGAATTTCCCGAAGTTCTGCGATTCGAGCAAGGAGCCATGACAACCCTCGAGACCCTTTCATTGTATATAGGTGACAATAACAACAGCTTTGACGGCATCGAGCACTTAACGAACCTCAAAGAGGTGCACCTCTCTGGTGGTAGAGACTACTCTGCAATGAAGATTGCCCTCGAGAAGCTAAAGGCAGAGAATGACAGGCGACACCCTAAAGAGTTCAAGATCACAGTGAGATACTGATCGCTCGCTTTTCTTACTCTGCTTGCTGCAAGTCTGTCGATTACCCATTTGCTATCTGTTTTAGTAGACTCTTGTGGCTGAAGATCCTTTTTTTGTTGTTGTTCGTCAAGTCGTGGTGGCGCGTGATGCCAGCAGTTTGAACTATCCGGCCTGTGGCGTGTCTAAACTTTGTCTTCTGTTGCCTGTCAAAACTAAATAAAACCGTTGGTTTCTGCCAAATGGTTGTAGTAAACTATGGCTGCATCTTGCTGTCCAAAAAAAAACTTTGTGTGCGTACTTGTCATGCCGTACGTGCAATAGCTGATCGAGCCAGGCTACTAAACAAATGATCAAGAACTTATTTCTCCTTTAGAAAGAACGTGAGCAATTAGCCTGACTCGATCAGTTATTTACTCCGGTTGATCGGCTGTGGAACTCAAGTCTAAACAGGATATCCTGCGGGTGCTATCCTGTTCCTGTTTCTGTTTCTTATTGGCAGAGCAAAACAGCATGGTCAAGTGGAGGGCTTAGTTCCTCATTTGGTCGATGGTGGTGTCTCCATCTTGCAATATGCTGACGACACTGTCTTATTCATAGAACATGACATTGCTATTGCGCGTAATATGAAACTTATATTATGCCTCTTCTAACAATTGTCTGGCTTAAAGATAAACTTTCACAAGAGTGAGTTGTTTTGTTTTGGGAAGGCCAAAGACGAGCAAGACACTTATAGACAACTTTTCGGGTGTGAATTAGGGTCTTTACCATTTAGTTATTTGGGCATACCAATTCACCACCGTAAGTTGTCTAATTCGTTTTTTTACCTACCGACCGTCAAAGCTTGTGCCATTTTTTCAGGCGCGTCTGCTGTTCCGGCAACTGGTATCAGGGGTCAGCTACTGCCACTCCATGGTAGATACAGAGTAGTGCTCTACTGCTCTTACACCGGGCCTATCAATCACAGTAGCTAGGCTAGGAATATTGAAACTGTGCCGTGTTGATTTTGTGTAGCAAGTATGCCATCGTGACCTGAAGCTGGAGAACATTCTGCTGGACGGGAGCTGCACCGGGCCTCCTCCTCGCCTCAAGATATGCGGCCCCGGCGTTTCAAAGGTACTCAAAGACAGAGAATTCGTTCTCACTTCAGCAGTAGTCCGCTTCATATTTGCGCTGCCTAGATGCCAAACTCGAGAGTTATATTTTCTGCCTGAACCTCTGTTGCTTCATTGGTCCGTAGCGTCAGTCGCAGCCGGGAGCGCCCAGAGCGTCTGACCAAACGGCGGTATACATCCCTCCTGAGGTTTTTCAGCAAAGGGAATATGATGGCAAGGTATACATACATACATACATACATACATACATACATATTGGAATTACGTTCAATGTTGATATGTTACACATACATACATGGATTCGATTGAAAGCTCATACATATCTGGAACTATTTCTCTGTTAATTTCTCATACAAATGCAGATCGCCGATGTGTGGTCCTGTGGAGTGACGCTCTACGCCATGCTAGTCGGCGCTTACCCCTTCCAGTGTCCTGACGACGTGCCTATAAACTTTAGGAAGATAATTCAGGTTAATTAATTTCTCTGTTTCAGCATCTAACTCTCTGTTCCATCTCCACCCATTCTGATCACAAAACTAAGGGGAACTTCATATTGCCAGAGGATACAGAGCGTGGAGTACTCTGTTCCAGATGACCTGCATATATCTGGCGAGTGCCGGGACCTCATTTCTAAGATCTCTGTTGCTGACCCAGCTGCTGTGAGTACTTGTTTACCTAGCTATGTGTATGTAACGTTGTCTGACGATTTTTTTTTGCATAGTTCTATATTATTTCCTTTTAGATACTACTACTACCGAATAACTGTCGTGCTGATTGTGAAACACAGTGAATCACGGTCTCCGAGATAAGAAACCATCCATGGTTCTTGATGAATCTCCTGGCTGATGATAGCACGATGAGCACCGAGGAGGCAGAGCAGATACAGAGCATGGAGGGGATCATACAGATCCTAGCACTTGCAGAGGCACCATATCCAAGCGACCCTGGCGATGATATGCAAGAATTTGTAGATTCAGACCCATATCTTGACGTCACCACATTCTAGTACCCCTCGTATGTATTTTGAAACAAATTGCATATGTTTCAAGGTATCAAATCTCAAAACATCATAGCAGCAGGAAAACTATATAGCTACAATAACTCGGCTGCAAGATGGCATAACGGGATAAATTTGAGGTTACCGCTAGTTTTCTTTTTCTTTTGAGGGGTGAGGTTACGGCTAGCTGGGCTGCCCATGCTTGATAGCCCCCAAAAATCAGGGCATTTTTTTTCCGCCAGATTTTGACTGAAAATTGCTCTGAATGTGCATTTTTGTTTCGGCTTTTTTCTATTCTGTAAAACTTGTTGAAACTTTGACAGAATGAATATGAGGGTAGTGTGGATTTTTTAGATTTTTTGCAAAAAAAAGCTGTCACTTCCATTTTTTTGGTGAAATTTGTCCTAGAATGACTGTATTTAATTTTTTTTATTTCCATTTATATTCAAGAATAACTTGTTGAAAATTTCCCAGATTGAATATATGGGTAGTTTGGATTTTTGATAATTTTTTTTTACAGAAATTCTGGGCACTTTCCTTTTTTGGCCAAATTTGTTCGCTGGGAGAGATAAAACCACAAAACTGAACTAATGGCCTGACTTCCTGGTGCAATTTAAACGCAATGGTAGTGCAGCTACTAAGCTGCACAGCTGCATACGTACCCGGGTATGCTTGATGCCAGCTGAGTGCGCCTAACTAACAGCTACATATTACTTTGTTGATTAAGGGATTGATTAATGCAAGTTGCCCCTTGAGTATTACGCCTATGGCTTGAGCGTGTTTGCTGCTGACTTAATTACACTAAGCCCCATCCCCATGCGATAGATTCAGATGCCAAGGAGCCAAGTTCAAATTCAAAAAAGAAAAAAGAACTTGAAAAAGTGCCAACAGGCCATATGCGGCCCAAAACTGCGGGCCCTGCGACAAGCAATCCAAGACTGCAACCACGCGAGTGGACAAGCTGTGCTAAAAAAAGAAAAAAAATATATCCAGCGGACGTACGCTACGACAGGAACGACGCGTTAGCATGTGAGAAAATTAGATTATGGCGAAGAGATCTAGGTGGTGACAGACGCGCTTCCCTTTTTTCTAGGCATCTATCCACATGGACCCACCCAACTGCCTCTCCAGTCCGGTCAACTTACCCACCCTTCTTCCTCCTCGGGCTGCTAGCTCCGTATAAATCCACACCTGCCCGCGGCTAGCTAAGATTCACCTCGCTTCTCTCTTCACATCAAGGATTCATCTGGCCTATCTCTTCCCCGCAGGAACCCCCCAAACTGTTCCTCTCAAGGTTAGCGCCTAATTTTGTGAATCTTGTTACTTATTTTCAGATCTAGCACTGCTTTGGCGAAATGAATCCACACATTTCTTAGCTCGTCAGAAATGGCCTCCGGGAGTCAAACCCAGGAGAGCAAGCAGCCAAGCCCGGAGCTGCCGAAGCAGCTGCCGTTCGACTTTCTCAAGAAGATCACCAACGATTTCGCCGAAGACCGCAAGATAAGCGGCAGCCCCTTCGGCACACTCTACAAGGTCTGCTTTCTCTTTCTCCCCTGCTGTTTTCCTCTGCCTCCTGTTAATTTATGCTGTGCTAATACAGAGCACACGTACGCGGTTAAACAGGGGATTGTGCCGGATGACGGCAGAGTGATTGCGGTGAAGAAGCTTCAGGAGAACGCGCCAATGCCGGCTGACAAGCAGTTCAACAAGGAGGTCCAGAATGTGATGTCTCTCAAGCATGAGAACATTGTGGAGGTCGTTGGGTTCTGCAGCGAGACGCAGAAGAAACTGGTGCAGTTTGATAAGAGATACATCCAGGCAGACATCACTGAGAGCTTGATCTGCTATGAGTATTTACCTAATGGGAGCCTTCAGGAGAATCTTTTTGGTATGCCAACGTATCTTGCATTTCTTTTTTACTAGTCCTTGATGTTTGCATTTCAAACTGGAGCTAGGAAATCACATTCTTGCTATGCTGTTTATAGTTTCAAGTCAACACCCCATGTAACTTCTCATAGTGTATGTTTACCGTATTTATCTTGTTACCCTGATGATATGCAGAGCCCAAAGATTCGACTAAACAAGATATTAGTTGGGACACACGCTTCAAAATAATCAAGGGGATTTGCCAGGGCTTATATTTTCTGCACAAGTTGGACATTCCCATTGTCCATATGGATTTGAAGCCTGAAAATATACTGTTGGATGCAAATATGGTGCCAAAGATCGCCGATTTTGCACTCTCACGGGTCTTTGGCCAAGAACAAACTCGACTGTGCACACAAACAGTTGTCGGATCATAGTAAGCTCACCATGAAATTTCATATCAGTAGTTGTTCCTTGGTTACAATGTATATGCCTTCTGCCGCTTCAGCTTTGCCTAATGAACTTTTGATGTTAATGTGATCCAGTGGGTACATGGCTCCAGAATATCTTTACAGAGGTGAAATCTCGGCTCAGTCAGACATATACAGTTTAGGCCTAGTGATAATCGAGATCGCCACCAGAGAGCAGAATCCTCGCGAAAAAGACCAACCATCTGCGAGAAGTTTTGTCGATAAAGTAAGAGGAAATATCACTTTGTTATTTGATAAGCAAAGCATATTTCATACATTTTGTTTGTTTATTGTGACTAAGCATCTTGACTCCACTTCTGTAGGTGCGTAAAGAATGGACGCTGGAGAACATAAGATCCGAGTATTCATCACTGGATCA